ATGTGATTTTGTAAATGACGTTGGTATTGTGTGATTCTAAATAATTTTTGTTTAGTAACGATTTTAATTTAGGGCCTAATCCGGCCTTTGTCGAAACGTTCTACATTTGCTGTTTTGTTAAACTTATATTAAAGTTTTTCTTCGTTACCCATTCAGGCCGTTTCCAAGCATTATTGTCTTAGTTAATTGTGCTAGCTATTCTGTTACGATCTCGTTTCGAGTAGAAAATTATGATATTACTTCAATTGACTGTTATATTTTTAAAACTCAGACAGAAATGTTTACTCATAAAATTTATAGAAAACAGTATATGATTTATTCTATTTTAATTATCCTTGACAAGTATTTACAAATTACTTCTAGTCATTTTACAGGCCATATTTAATTGTTTGTATAAATATATCTAAATACAAGTAAAATTTTATGTTCGGTGTTTAGAAAATTTTCCCTGAGCCATAACAATAAGTGTGATACAGCTGGAACAGACAACAAAAGATGTACGATAAGTTTATAAAAAGTAGTCTGGTACATAAATAGTTTAAGAAAAATGTGTTTGAAAAGTCTGATAAAGTCACTCCACCCGTAATTCTAGGGATGAAACGCCATACAAGTTGTTTTTTATTCTATGCCTTGGGAGTGGTATGGGATTTTAAACGACACTGTTATATATATCAAGTTTTTTAGTTATTTAAACGGATATTGGCCTCTAAATATATCACATTCCTAGCAGCCACATAACCTGAGTAGACACTGTTATATATCAAGTTTTTTAGTTATTTAAACGGATATTGGCCTCTAAATATATCACATTCCTAGCAGCCACATAACCTGAGTAGACACTGTTATATATCAAGTTTTTTAGTTATTTAAACGGATATTGGCCTCTAAATATATCACATTCCTAGCAGCCACATAACCTGAGTAGAGTAAATGCGCTATCAAACGGCCCGGCATGGCCAGGTGGTTAGGGCGCTCGGCTCGCAATTTGCGGGTCGCGGGTTCGAATCCCCCGTCCCACCAAATATGCTTGTCCTTTTAGCCGTGGGGGCATTATAATATAACGGTCAATCCTACTATTCGTTGGTAAAAGAGTAGCCCAAGAGTTGGTGGTGGGTGGTGATGGCTAACTGCCTTCCCTCTAGTTTTACACTGCTAAATTATGGACGGTTAGCGAAGATAGCCCTCGTGTAGCTCGAACAAACAAGCGCCATCAAACACTTTTAACATTATGCTAGGTTATGACAATAAAAAAAGAGAGTAAACCTGAAATTAGGACAAAATATCATAATGACAGTTTTCTTCTACATTACGTCACTGCAGGATATTGGGAAGAATAGAACTAAAGACAGTTGGCAATAACAAGATAGAAAACATTTTCTTTAAACTCAAGCGAAACATATATGAGTGTGAAAGTCAATGAGTAATTACTTTTCTTTTCAAATCACGTATTATATATGTTTGAAAAATAAAAAACACCTTTCTCGACCCACAAACCTTTCCCCTAAAGCTCGTTTTTTCTTACACGTAACATGACTGGTAGCCCAAATAACTTCTTCATAGTGTTTAAAGCATTTAAAGTTTGAGATTGCGATTCCTGTACCCAAGCTACAATCTAGCATTTGCTTCCCATCATTACTTTTCCTTCTATTGGCATAGACAGTTACGATGCTTTCCTACAAAAGCGACTAAGAAAAAGTCACACCATAAATAAGACGCTTCGTAAAAGCGTTATCACCCATTTCTCATGTAGCCACTTCAGCCAATATCTTTCACACCATCTAAATCTACATTCAACTATGAATATTGTTAAGAAGCTAAATTTAAGTGCTATACAGACGAATGATCTATTATTAACAGTTATTGAACATCACAAAACTCGAACTGATACACTGAGTTATTTCAAAAGCAAAGCGCTCAGAATGTTCAGTAAATAGCCAAAAATTAACCCTATAAGTTGGAAATATCGTCAAACCAATATGATGTTGACTCAAACTAAAATAGTTTAAAGTAGAGATTAAAAGTGGATTGGTTACCAAAGAATCGAGAAACGTTTCGGGGACATAGTACTCAAGTCCTACACTATATTATTCCGGTGTGAAGAGGAAAGTAAATATTTTTTGAAACACAGAGTCATAAAGAGCTAACGAATTATCATTATGCGAAACAGACAAGTGACAACATTGCCAAACTCTCAGCAACAGGAACTGATTTATGAAGTTTATGGTATAGTGATTTTCGAAATGTATGGATGATACAGCTACTTATTCATGTTTGCAGCTTACATTTGGAAAAAAAGTACAAAAGCAATAAATGTTTACAAAATTAAACACTACCTTAAACCAAGCCACTCCAAAAGGTCAACAATAGGTAGAAAATACTGACGTTCATAAGAAGACAATCTTAGTGCAAGCAAGAGGAAAATACTAATGTTCGCGAGAAGAAACCAGTAACACCTTTAGTAAGACATTATCCATGAGAAGACAACAACTATATCCATTGGTATAAACATTAGTATACATAGGAAGACAATAACTATTATATGTAGGTAGAAACACTATAGTCATAGGAAGACAAGCTCTAATAGTCATTGGTAAAAAACAACAAAATACTAGAATTTTAAAGAAGACATTATTAGTACCAAGAGTTAGAAAACACTATACTACGTAGGATAATCATATTAGTGCCCAAAGAAGTATATTAATTTTATTTGAATAAGATAACTTTCACATATATAGTAAACACCTATAATAAGACGAAGTTAATAATAATAAGAATGACAATCGGTTACCAATCGGAATAAAACATTATGCACCATGAATATCCAGTAGTTTTGTAAAACGATTTACACAGTAATGTAGTTTTGAAACTAATTCTGTATATCAAGGTTATATTTTGGTTGGAACGAAAAATAAAGATCCTGAACTATTTTTTATAACGATGTGAAGTGGAAAAGCAGAGATAGATTATTATTCTCCTGGCACCTCACAATCTTCTAATATTTTTTCCTTGAGTCTCTTTCTATTGTGTATGTGAGCAGAACTTCCTGTAGCACATAACGAACCCTAGTCTATTTCGTTATGTGAAATTGGAGTGTTATAGCATCTGTGAAGATTAACTCGTGGTAAAAAAGAAGAAAGGAGATAAATATTATACTTAGTTCTGTTGAACATCAGTTGTTCTGACATGAAATTAACTGATAAATCTATTAATACATTTTGTTAAGCTGCATTTAACTTCGACTAGGCCAATCAATCTGCATAAAGATTTACAATTCTTAAACCCTTTCATATCAAATGTTTATATTTGTGAATATACAAAAAATAGTTAAAGACAAACAAATCCCAATGTTTTGCCTATAGCTGCATTTGTTCGTTATTCCTGTTTGTTTGTATTAATGCTTTTTTTGTTGTCAGACTATTTACAATGCATTTTTTATAATTTTTTTCACAACAGTGTGAGTTGATTAATAAGCAATTTTAAGAAGAAAAGAAACGAAAGTAATAAAATACAAAAACAATAAAAATCATAATAATTGGTTATGTAAGGTTTCTTGATGACCAATATCGAACAAGGTGGTTGAAATAATATGTAGGAGAGGAAACTGCCCTACTTATTTCTAATTTTTTACGACTTTTCTCACATACTTTTATCATTTAAAGAGCCAGAAAAATTGTGGCAGTTACACAACAGGCTCAGCTTCTTTTTTTATATTTCTATCATTACAGATTTTTTTCTTGCGGAACCTCTGAAACCAGTCCACGGAACCCTAAGGTTCTGTGGAACTCAGGTTGAGAAACCCTGGTTTAGGATATCGTAACATTATTTTATTTTATTAGCTATATCATTCTGATAAAAGAATTTTTTGTTGCTATACTTACAAAGTTCTGTCATGGATTCATCATACTGCTGATAATCTTGATTTAAATTGTGACTTAGGCTATTGAACCTAAGGCTGCATTATCACACTACAGATATTTAGGCTCTTCTATTTTTTTGGAGCGTGGAAGTATGTAAAATAAGCTTTTTTACTAAAACATGTATTATAACATGAACTAAGGACTGGTTACGTATGGTGCATAAGGTTGGTTTAACTTGTAGTGTTGATCTTTACATACAGAACCGTGCGGATAAATTAAATTTCAGAAGGTGTAATCCTTGAATTCGTTTGAGATTCGATCCCGCTTCCCTGCTAACTGGGGGTAGTAAACTTGTTAGACATACAATCAAAATAGTTTAGAGCTCATTGAGTACTTAATTACGTCTCAACTGTAAAGACCAGATTTTACAAGTGTTCTTACACTATTCGACAAATAGTTGTCAATAAAGAATAACGCTTGAAAGTAAGTGCTGAATGAATGTATTCCGCAGCAGTATTTGCTGCTTTTGGTTATCATATCTAATGCATAGTGTTGTGATAATACTGTCTTAAAAGTAAGGTTACTGGAACAGAAAAACGGTACTAAGAAGACGTCACGGAAGCAAAGGCTTATGCTGCGTGTGATATCCGCCTTTGGGAGTTGTTGCTTTGAAAGGAATATAAAGATATTTCATAATACTTCACCACTGCTGCTATAATATAACCGATTCTATTTTTAAAGGTGATTTTTATTGTATTTTCACATACATATATAACTGTTATTACGAAAGATACAACTTTACCGGTATATGCATAAAACAAATACGTTGTTGGATAATCTTACCAGGCTGAAACATGATAAATATTTTACCAGTATATACTACAGCCAAATGAAAACGAAAACTATACACTTAAGTAACAAGTAATTTGATCCCATATTCTTAATGTGCTCAGAATAAGTACATAATTTCTGAGTGAGTGTTTTACAAGTTGTTAATAACTGACAATTTGCATTGCGATTTAGAAGGTTTCTAGATTATACTTTGAAATTAGTTTAAAACTATTCGAAAGAAATACTTATAAAAGTGATAACTTATTGGTTGTTATCTTATAAAGCAACCTTTAAAATAATGTAAAAGAATTATGTTGCCGAAATTTCAAAATTTATATTAACAGTTATCGGCAACTTTTATGATGTAAAACGACAAGTCAAAGCACATAAAAAGCAATTAAAATCGAAATTTACAAAAACTGAAAAATAAAGTTCCAATGCTTGGCTGGGCTTTTCTCTTAACTTATTTTAACTAGTTCTTCTTTCAGCCATTATATCTATACGTACACACACACACACACACATATATATACATGTACAAGTGTTTGTGTAACTTACTTCCATTAAACATATAATAAAAATACAGGAATTCCTATTGGAGGTTCAGTTTTTTAATATATGTTTTAACATGGGCATCATTGTGTGAAAATCCATAAACTGGGAGTTTCTTATTTGTTTTTTTGCTATATGTATGTTATAAATGCTCAAGAACTTTACAGTATATTGACTTTAGAAGACAAACAAAAAGTAACTGGTATTAGCAGGATTTCGTAATTGTTTTTAAGGCAAGATCAAAGGTTAGATATGAATCATACTTTATTGGTATAATTCAACAACGTAATTAATAATGAAAAAGACAGTCTAATGAACGGCTTGATGACATGTTACTAAAGTAGCTGTTAAAAGTCGTAAGGAACAAACAAGGTAGCTTAACTGTACATGTTGATTTCTCTATAAAAGAAACTTTTGAAAATAATTTTTTCTCGTTATATTTTTTTATATTACGAATGATAGCGTTTTGCAGATATTCAAATATTTAGTTATCTATTCAAAAGCTTACATTTTTATTAAACTACTAATTTATTTCTATCTTATTCCAACGACGCCATTAGAAACTAGATAAATTTAATTGGAAATCATTCAGATCGCTTTTTTCAAGTATAGTTGGACCTGGTAGTAATAGAATTTCTTGAATGCAACTCAGTTTTTTTTAATATTTAGAACTGTAGGTCAAAACAAGTTTCAAATTTTTAGAATCAATGAAAAAGTTAATTACGGATAAACGAAGACTAAACGCCTAAGAACTAGACATGTTCTCGGTGGATTTCATAACCGAAAGGAAGAAAGTTAAATTATAGAACTAGACATGTTCTCGGTGGATTTCATAACCGAAAGGAAGAAAGTTAAATTATAGAACTAGACATGTTCTCGGTGGATTTCATAACCGAAAGGAAGAAAGTTAAATTATAGGACTAGACATGTTCTCGGTGGATTTCATAACCGAAAGGAAGAAAGTTAATTATAGAACTAGACATGTTCTCGGTGGATTTCATAACCGAAAGGAAGAAAGTTAAATTATAGAACTAGACATGTTCTCGGTGGATTTCATAACCGAAAGGAAGAAAGTTAAATTATAGAACTAGACATGTTCTCGGTGGATTTCATAACCGAAACGAAGACTAAATGTCTAACAACTAGACATGTTCTCGGTGGATTTCATAACCGAAAGGAAGAAAGTTAAATTATTCAACTATTGATTTCAAGGTTACTAAGCTAAGAGAAAAACAATAACAACTGAAGAATGAAACACGACAACCAACAATCTGCTAACTTCCTACCCATGGCTGTAAGAGGCAATGAAACGTGAATGCTATAATACATTGACAACACTAAGCTGACTTACCGGGACATGTTTTAGAATAATGTCCACAAAATGTAATACTGTTCATGGAACCAACATTTCAAGACTTATAGTTGGAAAAGACTATGTTATAAACTAAGAATAAGAAAAAGCTGATCTATAAATCCAATGTTCAACTATGTAGTAATGATCTACTATATTCAAGGTCCAGAGTGAATAGGCAAATATTCTTAACCAGTATCCTTTGAAATGTTTCGACGGAAAGCTTCCCTGTAGTTCGTTTTATATCCGTCACCTATAGAAATACAGTGCCATGGCTACAAATTCATGTCCCAAAGCAATCCTGGGCTCTAAATTTCCAGCGTCATTTATTTCCTAACATCTTTTCTGGGTGAACGCAAAAGTGAGTTTCGCGAAACTATAGAAAAAAAAAAGACGATTGAAAACTTGCAATCCTCACATTACAAACGTGGAAGATGCCTGTTTCTTTTTTCAGATATAACACATCGTTCAAGCCTTAAGGGAACACGGCGTGTTTGAGGTCTTATTGGTAAATTATCCTTTGCCAGCTGAGTCTCCTGTTGCTAGGTAACCGGAAGATTCGGAGTAGAAATCTACGATATTTTAACACAAGTTAGATCTACCTGCAAATCGAAAAAAAGAATCTGCCAGTAAGAAAACAAAGAAGCAATATCTGAGTTTCTACAGAACATTAGTGTTAAGAAATCGCCGAAGGTTGATAGATGCATTACCAAGGCAGTAGATAAACTACAGTCATGCCCAATGCAGAAATAAAAAACTGACTTGCATGTAAAATGATGAATATAAAACGAGTTTTTGGATTTTTCGTAATTTCACATATGAACATGTAGCAATGAACACTATAAAGCAAATCAAATTATTTATGTCTATAATTTATATAAATAGATACATTTCTGATTTATTACGATTTCCGATATCACGTCAACGTAAGTATAATTTGTCAAAATGGCTCGTAGAGGGCAGGGAAATTGGTATTATACGTTAGATACTAAAGAAAACATTACGAGAAAAGTTAAAACCAATTTAATTACTATTTATTTCAGACTAATAGTTAGAGTTTAAACTGTATTCTAAGTGATAGAAATGTATAGTCCCTTTTGTCCCACCCTGTATAACAGAGGCAACAGAACAGCACAAAACAGCTTGTATCAATAGACATGTTTTCTAATTTGTAGCTAGAAGAGCTATTTTAATAAACACTGATAATTAATATTTGTCTTTGTTACCTAGACTGAATTTCTATTTTCTTATTAAAATCTGCCGAAAAGTGAAGAACGAAATCGGCTATTAGATTTAGCTACAAAGAAGCAGGTAAATTTAATTAAAATAATACAAAAAACAATTATAAAGCTCTATCTGTTGACATTACTTTCGGTTAGCCTATACTTGTTAGGACTGATACAGGCTCAAACTTCACTGTTAGCTAAATATAATTATGAATACAAAGAAACCTCAGTATTCGATTAGTATGAAGAATAACTCAACCAGATAACACGTACATAATAGACAGCCATAAATAAATGATGAACACAATTATATCTAATCTCAGAACCACAGCAGCTAAAAGACAACCTAGTCAAACAAAACAATATCCTAACTTCACTTTATAACCCTTAGAGATATAATCAGTTGGGCAGAACAATTGTAGACTGGTGGTCTAGTAAAATACCAGTTATTTTACCGAAAATACTACCATTCCCAACCTACCTTGATGTTTGTGGAGACGTTCCTGCAGCGTGAAAAAACAACAACAACAAACAAATAAGAAAACAATACTTGTATAGTTTATATAATTTAGGTTTGAGAATATAAATAAAAATTAAATGTGTGAAGAAATTTATAGGTAAAATAACACACTAGTAGGATATACCATGTTTTATTTCAGAATGAATCAAAATACCCATACCATTTATAAACGTTTCTTATTTATCTAATTTAAGATATTGACGAGAAGAATATTATTTCTTTTCAACAGTTTTTGGGATAATTTTTAAATAACGTTTTCAGAAATGCTTTAAAGTTAAGTCTTACGAGGATATAGTCAATATGATTATGAGGATCAAACTCCCAGTTAAAATTATTATAAACCCTTATTTTAAAATATAATTTCTACAAACTAATACTAACTTGAAAATTAGCTATCTTAAAAATGGTTTAAGACATCTCTTTAAATAAGCATATTTAATGAAAATGTATTTGTAAAGTGATTATTTTTTTCACAAACAAAAAATGTTTTATACAACTAATTTTTGTTCAAAAAGACATAGGCCTGCCTTACTTACTGTTGCTCTGTAATACCAAAGTGCTTCAACGTATAAAAGAGTAACTCTAATAAGAAATCGGCATACTTTCAGTTATTCTGTTTACAGGAAATATTGTTAAATTATATCTTATTCGGTTATGTTCATAACAAAATGTACTACTTTTTTACTTGTGTGTTTTTTGTTATATGTTGCCATTTGTTCAACTTGAAAGCGAAGAAAGGGAAACTTTAAGAAATATATGCCATATTTTTACAAAAAGATAAACTATAAAAGGCAGTTTTGTGTAAAAATTATTCTTTTAAATTGACTAAAATCATTAAGGTTATACAAAAATTATATATACGTGCGTATTTAATACAAAGTTCATGTGTGTATAGCGGGGTATATTAATTTTTCCGATAATTTAGGCAAAATTTTCAAAAGTGATTGCCAACGCTGCATGTTTGGTTCATTATAAACAAGAAATTATAATTTATTATAATTGAAAAACAACAACATCATTTAAATGTTATTTTATCAATAGACCTTTGTTCATTTATATGTATATATTTCCACGCTGATATTTTCTCCGAAGACTGAATACAATCTTGAATAGATCAGTTACTATTAAACAGAATTTGACAAATAACTACATAACTATCTTGCATGCGTTTTTAGACTATGTGGACAATCGTTTCAACAAGAAAGACTGATTCAAGGAAATGAAAGGTGCACGTCAGTATACGAGAGTTGAGTCTAATTAAGAGAATAATTAGGTTTTCTTTGCACAAGTAGTCGCATAGTATATGATCCTATGTCTATTTCTTTCTTATTTTGATGTCATGGTTACCATAGCAGAATTTACCTGGTGATCCTTTTGTACGAGTAAGTCTTTTTGAATCTTCCGCCTACAGAGAAGAAATTGAAAAACAAAAACAGTGACTTCTATTCCTTCATCAAATGTATATATATATGTATATGTTATTGTGCATATAAATGCAGCTGATACATTAAACATCCCAGGAATTAATCTGTCCTTAAAGACAAACGAATTTATCAATAACACGTGCTTATTTACACAATACGTTTTTTAGTGTGGTCATTAGATTACTATATCGGAATAATCAAAATAAAAAAGGAACGCTTTCAGAACCAAAGGATAAAACTACGATGGTTAAAAAATTAACTGATATATATATAATAGATATGTGAAAGACACACTAAATTCTATTTAGTTACAACAATGATAATAATAATAACAGAGATTGGTATAAATAATGCAAATGACATGGAGTACCAGAAAAACGATAGTTTAAAAGAGTGCAAATCATAGTGAGCACTGAAAACACAGCAACTGAGAATTGTTTTTAACACGTACATTACAGAAAGTGCTAGATACATAATTGGTTGTTGCATCATAGATGACAGAGTGCTATAAAAACGATAGTATTTAATACAATAAATTCCAAGGATTAGTATAAAAACAATAGACTATAACATTATAAATGACAAAAAGTACTGTGCATCTTGGCAACAGACCTGTAGCGAAGTCTCTATTGGAAAAGGCTCCGTTCTTGGTATGGTGTCATGTACGAAGCACATTATTCCTACCTGCAAATATTCCATAATCCATCTAATGTACAAGGATGATGGTTTCCCAGCATCCTTTTCAACAGTTTAAGTGCACATAAATCTACATCTGCTACTTCCGATATGATTTCGTGTGGAATAGCAAGAATACTCATTTCATTCTACGCGACGAATGAACGGACATATCGTGGAAGCAGCTTGTGTACACGAAACCTGTGTCACTTTATCGGACGGACAGCTTTTATTGGACGGCTTTTAGCACTAACATTTGTGTTGATATATTTTCACTGTTACACTGCGCGCTGCTTACCATAGTTTGAGTATGACTTGTTGTAGGTCTCTTTCGAGATATTCCTGGGGCTCCAATCTGATCCATATTCCTTGGTTTTTCCTATTTCAATAAGTACAAGTACAAGTAATATCCTTGTATCGGAAGTCATAAATTCCTCATCTGAACACATCTTTCTGATCTGAACATACGAATACTTTGCATCAAAAATGGCTGCAATATACCTTTCCAAAAATTGATCAGTTTATGTTGGCCTCACAGTACCTAAGTAGCGCCAAAAACTATCCAGATGTAGTTCTGATACATTCGTTCCACCGCGACTTTATACCTGCTGTTATTGTCACGTGATTGGATGATTTACAAATTCAAAATAATCTAACACATATAAAAGCCAGTTGTCTTTTAGAAACACTAGTTCATCTGTGTCACTTAGCAATAAAACTATGACCTAATGTGTCCTAGTATGTATATAATACTTCGAATGTTCACGAGAGATGGCTTGAAATTTAGATCATTTTACGGTTTAGTTTATGTATATACTTAGCTTGATCTAGATATTTCGAAGTTCTTTATGAGTTTTAAAAACATCTAACTTAGAGGTTAGTGAACATAATTCGTATGTTTTTATTAGGTTTTCGTGTAGTTTACAGTATAATTATTACTTTTTTGGATAAATATCTTTTTTTCTTTCTCCCTAACGTATTGCCATTCGTCTTAACTAATGATGGTACTTGAAATTAATTTTTAGGTTTAAACTTGGAAATGGAATTTTCAGTCACAAACCTTAGAACTATTGATTTTGGGTACTTCATCTTCTTTCGGCGTTTAAACTATAGTTTTTAGGTTATATGACATAATTAGAAATATGCGTTCTGGTACATGTGAAATATAGATGGATTTGTGATATAGTCATAATGTTGAGCATAAACTGAAAAGTAAGAAAATTAATTTAAATAAGAGTTTGATATGATTTTCGTAAATATCTATCTATCTAAAAGTCATGAACTTCGGCGTGATACTACTCTTTTTCCGCTTATTAAAATTGAGTATATATAAAAGCCAGTTGTCAGTTTGTGTGTGTGTGTCGGTCATATCATGGGTCATTTTTAAATTTGCTCCATTCTTATTTATTTTTTCAGTGTGTGATTGTTTCATTTATGATAAAAGGAGACATTTGGTGAACGAAGCTCGCTGAAGGACAGTTTTTACAAAACTCCAAACCGTTATTTTTTGACGGGTCGGCCAAGGTTAGTTTAATATAAAGTACGCAATCCTCTGTATAAATGCGGTTATGTTTGACACTGTAAATCCCATAAAAGCACATTAGTTGTAAAATAGTATAAATAAGAAATAGTATTAAAACACTATTAGTTGTAACGCCGTAAATGATATAAAACAGTATCAGTACAATTTTATTTAACAGTTGCTTAAATTTGCTTCTTACTGATACTTAATTTGGTACACATTTTTGATGGTATTACACTGTCATTACGGAGCATAATATTGTAAAAAAGGTACGTAGAACGACAATTTTTCGTTGATACACGCGTCTATCGTCTGCTTGCCGTACCGGTAATTTTATCGTTAACCTATACATTTCAAGAATAAATTATAAGAAGCCTTGACATTTTTTGGTAAATTTGAGTTAACATTTAATTTAGAACATAGCATTATAGTCCTATTTAGTTATAGACCATTAACTATACATCTTCTAATACATCATATATTTAACCTCACACACAAAAGAAATGTATGCAGATCTAGAATGTCGTGCCTAGCCTATAAAATAGAATTATGTCGTCTGCCATAAAATAGAATACGTGAAAAGAGTAAGGCTTAAATTACAATATTTATTGTATACAATCAGATTAAAGTCAAGTCAGCGTAACTGGTAGAGCGCTTGCATGAGGTGGAAGATGGGTTAAACCTGGAAATTATATATATGTATATATATATATATTTATTAGAATAGATAAGCCTATTTAGTTATAGATTATTAATTATACATCTAATAATATATTATATATTTAATCTCACACACAAAAGATATGTAATCAGAATTAGAATATTGTGTGTGAAAATGCAAACAGTAGGCCTAGCCTATAAAATATAATTATGCTGTCTACCATAAATTAGATTACGTGAAAAAGTGTAAGGCTTAAATTATAATACTTATTGTGTAAAATGAGATTAAAGTCAAGTCAGCCAATGCATTTTATTCTTCTTTTTTCTTTCTGGGTAGTTCAGTGCTTGGAAGTGGATTTTTTCTTTTTAATACATTATAAAGTACTGTTACGACAGCGGTAGTCACGTGACGCTGGTAACACGTCAGGATATTCTAGAAGGATCGGGGAACATTACGAATAATCCAGTATGTGCTAGGCGCCCTCTGTTCCTGTATATAAGAGCGCCGGATAACGTGAGACAAATCAATCGGAATTGAATTGCAGACACGCATAGATAAAGACGGACAATTGAGTCAAGCGCGGTAGTGACCGTAAGTAAGTGTGTGAATCATTGTGAATTATAGCGTGTGCTTAAAGTGACTGTAGAAATTAAGTGTATTACAAAGTTGAATTGAGAAAGAATAAACTAGTTTTATTTAAGAAAGGACTTGTGTCGCTAAAGTTTCATCCGAATAAAATTATACGAGATATTAACAAACGACCAGGATATTAACAGTACAATATTACATTTTGTTTGCAGTAAATTTTATACATCAATGTCATAATGTGAATACGTATCACATTCATGAAAATATATTAAATTTCCATTAAACCAAATTGAATACAATATTACACACGTATTTATGTTTGAAATTTTAATACTTGAGGACGGGGGATGGGGGGGGGGGAATAGAGCTAGGCTTATCCTGTTCGTCCGAATGGGTACTCATACGTGTATAAGATAATCTAATTATTTTCCATAAGGGCCTATTTTTCATTGGCAGTGAAGGAAAAACAAAAACATCGTTCATAAGCAAGCTCTGATTTAAAACAGGTTCGTAGTTTATTTTCAAAAATCAAACCTAAGGTTTTTTTTCCCCATAAACTCACAAAACTCACCTATCGAAATATGGAATGGGATGGCAGATAGAGTAGGTTTGTTGTTTTTTCGAAAATCCGGGCAACGGCGTGTAACGCTGCTAGTTATTAATAAGTATGAAGTGTCGACATAAAGGGGCATGACTAAGCCTAACTTTAGCTTAACTCATATTAGGGATATTAAAAGATTAAAGCATGCTAGGCCTTTTTTACGTTTCAGTCTCGAAGGCCTCGTTTACACCAAATATTGCAGTGTTGCGTTGACTATAATCTCTGAACGTTTGTTTTAGTGTAAGAGTCGTGGTTACATTTCAAACACTGTAGAGCAGTGGATTAATATAATCCATAGATGACGCTTCTTGCTTAATGACCCACGTTTAGCATCTATTAATATCTCACAAATGTCATATATGACAAAAATACACAATCACCAAATTCTCAAATTATAACAATGATTTAGTAATACATATGAAATACCTGAGTTGATAATTATATATCCGTCAAGTGATTCTATATCTTCACATTATTTATATACATTATACAAATATTATAGGCGATAACATTACGGTTTCGTAAAGTCTGTGGAAGCAAAATGAAAATGAAATAAATGAAAAATAAAATGTAATATACAGCCAAAAAAAAACCTGAATGATCAACGTTGTATCCTGAACGAATCAAAAACCACCCAACGTTTCCTCGACACTTATTGAAATGGAGCATTAGTTGGCATATATCTCATCACAACTTTATATATTAGTATTACATATTCACGTATCTAGAACTTTACAGAACACAAAACGTGTAATCAGAAGTGAGCTTCACTAGAAAACACTCTCACATGGTACATATTGTATGTTGTAAGTGTAGGAGAATGAAGTAGGTGCCTATGATATTAATGTCAAACAGCATCTAGTTGTGAAATGCTGTCACTTAGAACATTTATCACTTTGAACAGCTTGACACATATTTTTCTAATTAAAGGCGC